TCTCTCTCTCTCTCTCTCTCTCTCTCTCTCTCTCTCTCTCTCTCTCTCTCTCTCTCTCTCTCTCTCTCACACACACAGTTGTTCCGATCTCATTAACACCAATATGATATGTAATCCACATTACTCTTATACAAACAAATCATATCTTTTTTTGAAAATCTAAAAACAAAAATCTTAATTAATATGCTTGATATCTCTCTTTTCTTTAAAGCGTATATAATATGCTTTTCTTTCTAAAGAAAACATACTATATGCTTTTCAAGAACCTAAAAAGCCACTTTTATATTCTCTACTATTGGATAAACCGGTAAACTGATATTTTCAATGAAAAAATATAGCATCTCGAGAATTGGTTTTATTCTTATTTTTGAACGGCTAAAATTGGCTTAGCATTGACTGCATCTATTATCCAATTATGACAATCTCTGGTTTGGAATAAAGATAAAGTTTTTATTTTAAATAATCAAATATTTATAATTTCATCTCTTATAGTAAAAAAATAAAATACTTATGATATTAAATTAATTTCTTACACACATTTTTTTTTTGAAATAAAATCTACTTTGACAAATAAAAATATCTTCAATACTATATAGTAAATCCAAGAAAAATGTTATTTTGATATCAAATTTTTACATTTAGTTACATTCGTAATTTTGATTTTTTTTTATATTTTTCTTTCCAAAACAACAATTTGATGAATATGTATAAAAATTTGATTTATGTAATTTATAATTTGATTAATATGTGTCTTGATATTAAAAAAATACTTTAAGTAAAAAAATAAAGTTAATTAATTGCTAAGTTAATATAATTCATAATTTTGTTATTGAATGCCCTTATATAAAAAAAAAAAAATAGTCTACATGGTAAAATAATTGATTAATTTAATGTATAATATTGATTATTATGATTTATAATTTGATTAATGAATATCTTAAATAGTAAAAATGATCAATGAATTTTCAAACATAAAAACATCTTAAGTAGTAAAATAATAGTGTAATGATTGATTAACACATTCTATAATTTAATATTTGAAAATGATTAATATTATTTATTTTATTAGTGATTAATAAATTATAAATAAAATAAATAGTTAAACATATAATTTTTATAGTTAATAAAATAGTAAAATTAAAGGTTAAATAAGTATTTGGCTCTATAAATATTTCAAATTTATTTTTTAATTTCTCAAATTTTAAAAATGGTCCTCTTAAAAAATTAAATTTTAATTTTTAATTCTTTCTATAATTTAGTGACAGTTTTTACAATTTAGCGATAATTTTAGCGATTGTTTTAATGACGGTTCTTATTTAGCAACAAAATTAGAGACTATCTTAATTATGATTTTGTCAGGAGGGATCAAAAGTTAAAATTTAATTTTTTTATGAGAACTATTCTATAAAGGAAAAATTTTAAGGAATTAAAAATGATATTTGAGATATTTAGGAGACCAAAAATTTATTTAAAAATATTTTTACAAATAATGTTCTTTTTATTTTATAGAAAACTTTAAAATATCATTCAGTGAAGAGTGCATAATATAAATATTGGTATCAAATTTGATCTGAAGCATAAATGAAAAAGAATAATAATACAGAAAGGAACAATTTATTATAAAAAAACTTAAACGAATTAACTTGCTAAAAGTATCAAATTTAAAGTTCCGACTCCACCATTCTGCCTTCTATTTAACCCCCTCCTCATTGCACTTTGAAAACCATAGTCATCCATTTCTTACATACTTACACACTTGAGAGTGAGAAGATCAATAATTATCATTTGAATATGCCTGTGTTCTATCGTCCTGACAAACGGAAGGTCATGCCTCAATATCAAATCGATGCTGGAAACAAAATAATGCAAATATTGATAGATGCAGATGTGAATAAAGATGGTTGTTATACAAAGGGTGAGATCAAGAAAGCTCTAAAAGATTTAGGTTCCTACATCCCTGGATGGAGAGCAAATCATTGTCTCAAGAAATTAGATGCCAACAATGATGGCCAAATTAGTGGTGAGGAAATTGACAATTTAGTTTATTATCTTCTTGAACAAGGTTTTGGAAAGAAGTCTAAGAAATAGAGAAGCATCCCTTTGAGTTTCACATCTAACTTACCATGTACATAATTTATGTACGTGTGTGTGTGGCTTTGTTATATTTAGTATCCTAGTGGGGTTGACCACTATAAGTTTGTAACGTGTAGTTTTTATCAGTCCTATAGTTTAGTCACGGGAACTTCATCTCTTAAAATTAAATGTGAATAGTTGCGATGTTATAGGTTCGAATCTGTGTTCATTTGAAGTTGGATGTCTATGCACAACTATCAACTGAGTTGACTTAACGAATTTGTATTGTGTAGTTCATATTATGCTATTATGATGTTTCGTGAATATAAATAAGGAGATCAAGTGATATATAGGTTAAAAAGATAATGATAAGGAAATAGATCGATGATAGAATCGTGAATAAATCATTTTTCTTCTAGTATTTTAAGTACTTTTGAATGATGTTAGAGGTTGTACGCAAGAATACCCAGAATATTTCAATCTATTTCGAGTTTGTATAAGACTGATGAAAACGTGAATGTGCATGGGAAAGATGAAATCTGGAAATTTGTGTGAAGATGATAGGTTTTTCTAATGTATTTGTCTCCCACGATTTCATGGTACCGTTGTGGAAACTGGAAAATGAAAGTGACGTTTTGTACTATCCAACAGTCTACTTTCTTAGCCTATATGAAGGAAACTATTTCATTGAAGAAGTTAAAGAATTTTTTTTGAACAAACTATCAACGAAGTTGAAACCACAAAGAAAAGCTATTGTGCAAAGAAATTCGAGAGAGAAAATATTCAAGATAAAAACAAAACACAAAGAGTTGTTGTTCATTTTTTTGTTATTATCATTGTTGTATACACAAGAGTTGTTTCTCATATTTGTATGTAAACATTTGTTCTTCATTGTAGTATTAAATCTATTTTTCTAGAAGCACTATTGTAAACACTGTTAGAATGTAACTCTTTTGAGATTTGTTTTCCTCAGGTGACTAGGTGATAGTATGTATACTTGATAGAGTTACGGTGTTTTTCTAAAGTCTTAGACGTTTGTTGTAATATTTCAAGATTAGTGAATTAAGTCCTTTTTGAAGGCAAAATCACCTTGGCATGTGGACAAGAGTAGCCCTGTTTAAGGTGAACTTGTATAAACTAATTTTGTCACTTTTTCTTTCTTAGTTTGTGTATCTTGATTGTTTGTGAGAAACATTTCTAAAGAAAAAGTTTTTGAAAACCCAATTCAAACCCCTCTTTCTTTTGTTTTTCTCAACCTTCAATTGGTATCACAGCTCTGGTTATGTTATTGATTTTTCAATCAAACACTTAACCGTGTAGATAGATCTAGTGTGAGAAAAACTTTCTAAGATTGTTGCTCATACAAACGAAAGAGATAGTTACAATGCTAAATGTACTATTTTTGATGGAGAGAAATTTAACTACTGGATTGATAGACTAGAAAGTTTCTTTCTAGGATATGATATATATCTTTTGGATATTATTACAAATGTCTATGAGGCACCTGTTAGTGCGATTGGTTTTCTCATTCCCAGAAACATAATGAATGATGCACAAAAGCGTGATCTCAAGAATAACCACAAATATAGAACTATTATTCTCAATGTTATTTCTTACAATGAATATGAGAAGATCACTTATAGAGAAAAAACATAGGATATTCTTGATTAGTTAAGAATGGCACATGAAGGCAATGCTCAAGTCAAGGAAACTAAGGCTATGGCCTTAAGCCAGAAATATGAGGCTTTCAAGATTGAATAAGAAGAAGAAACGATTGAGACTATATTCTCAAGGTTTCGAACCTTAGTAGTAGGACTTAAGGTTCTAGACAAAGGTTACTCCATAACTAATCGTGTCACAAAGATCATCAGAAGTCTTCCCAAAAGATGGAGACCAATGGTTACTACATTTAACCTGGCTAAGGATCTAAACAACATAACTCTTGAAGAGTTAATTATCTCTCTTAAGAGTCATGAAATAGAGTTAGAGGAAGATGAGCCCCGAAAAAGAGGCAAATTTGTTGCTTTAAGATCCAGATCAGAAAGACCCAAGTCAGAAAAGTACAAAGCCTTCCAAGATGAAGAAGTAGAAGATTCTGACGATGAAGTTTCTAATGATGGAGATGAAATGTCCCTTATGTCCACAAGAGTCAAGCAACTCTAGAGAAAATACAAAACAACATCAGAGGATCTAGAAATAGAGGAGATCATCCAGAATCATCTGCAAGAGGAAGAGCAAGCAAGGAAGTAACATGTTACATATGCAAGGATCCTGGACACTACATAAATGAATGTCCAACGCTCAAGAAATAAAGCACCAGAAAGAAAACTTCAAGAAAAGAAATTTCAATGGCAATAAGAAAGGTATCATGGCAACATAGGATGAATCAGACTCGGAAGGATCAGAATCTGAAGAAGATAATGCTAACATACCATTCATGGCCACTACGTCAGAAGAAAATACCATAGAAACTAATTATGACTCATAAGAGGTATTTTCTGAACTTTCTCGTGCTGATTTAGAATTATGTCTGTCAGAATATCTTAGTAGGTATCAGAAACTTCAACGAAAATTCAAGAAACTTCAAATAGTTCATGAATATGAAATTGAAGAGTATGGTAAGCTAGAAATATAAGTTTCTGAACAAAAAGGAGACAATTTTATTTTAGAAAAACAAATTGCTTTTCTAAGCAAATTTTGACTAAAACTTGAAGAAACTCTTTCTAAAGTTCCTCCATCTTCTGAAACCATCTTATACAAATATGATACGACATTTCATATATTCTTAAACGACAATATAAGGAGAAGAAAAATGGCTTCCATGATCTATGGTGTCAGTCATAATGGAAAAAGAGGATTTGGTTATGTTTCTCATGAAGACAATCAATAAAACAAACATGAATATCCTTTTTCTTATCTTTACATCTCTGTATAAACACAAAAACTTAATGATGCACAAAAACTCAAGTTTATTAGAAACCCTGGAAAAACTAATTCTAAAGGACCCAAAAGATTTTGGGTACCAAAAGATAAAATAGTATATGTTGCAGATATCTTATGCAGCAGAGTTAAAACACAAGTCATGGTACCTGGACTCTAGAGGCTAGCGTCACATGATGGGAAGAAAGCATATATGTTCCAAAATCTGGAACTTAAAGATGCTGGGTACGTTGGTTTTGAGAAGGTCAAAAAGGAAGAATAAAAGGATCTGGAATAGTTGGTTCTAGAAGAAAAGGCTATAGTTTTTGAGGATAAATATTTCAAATAAAAAAGGATGATACATCAGAAGTACCAGAAAGTTCATCAGCCCAGAAAAGACAATTCTTATGTGAAGATTTGTTTCTGGGAGATAAAGTTGAACCTGTCAGAACAAGATTCTCATTTAAACAATCTGAGGAAATGCTTCTGGGATTGATGTCTCTAATAAAACCAACTTCTTGTCAAGAAGCACTTCAAGATAGTGAATGGATTCTGGCAATGCAAGGAGAGCTAAATCAGTTCTCCATGCCCTAACCAAAATTTATCCGCTCCTTATTTTTATAATAAAAAATATTTTAAACATGGTTTTTATAATATTATTTGATTTTTATAAATATTAGCTTACAAACCTATTTAAAAAATATAATGATTTATTTCAGATCATTTGTATTTTTGAAGAAATAAATATTTGCACACCTTTTGTATACTTTCAAATTGAGTTTATTTACAAATTAGTAATATAGAACAATTGGTGAAAAATGAAGCTCGCAAACGTAAGGTCACGAGTTCAAATCTCTTGTGTTGCATTTTCAACATTTTCTTTTTTTTTTCTCTATTTTTTTGTCACTAATTTTCTTTCCTTTTTAAATAGGTGTTTCTTATTGGATATTTGATGTCAATTTGTGTCACACTTTGTTTTTGATTGGTCTATTTTATTTTATTTCCAATTTGGATGGTTTTTTATCTATAAATAGGACATGTTTTTCACACTTCTAGATCATCCACAATATTCACAATTTCTTTCCCACAATTCGACACACTTTCTTTTAAAATTTCTTTTCAACATTTTTGGTGTTATTTTGTTATTTTGGCCGATGATTAAAATATGAGGCCTCCCGTTGATTTCTAATTTTTATCCCTTTTTAATTTTAAATTGTAAAATAAAAATATTCTTCTTTAATATTTCATCAGAACATTTAATTAAAAGATATAAAAATACAAAACTACCAAGAAAAATGCTTTGTTTAGTTTATTAGGTTTTATATTTAATTAATACTAAATATGTTAATAAAAAGTAATAGGAACTAAATTCTATACAACCTTTGTACATAATTTATAAATATTTATATAATAATTAAATTAGTTAATATTCTACGAAGATGTTAAAATCCATGCAACTCACCAAATCCACCATCCATGAGCGACACGTGGCCAATATCTGGCCACATGATAAAAGAGACTTCACCAGACTCCCTCTGCATACCTCATGACGAGCAACCCGTGGCCAATATCTGGCCGCATAAGGAGAAACACTTTATCAGACTTTCCCCGCTTTATGCCATACCATACTCAATTAATCAACTTCAAAACAACTAACCAACAACAACATCAAATCGTTTTCTACTAACATAACAAAAACTAAAAGATTATTTTCGAAAAAGGATTGAGGATAATTTCTTCCAAAATTAACTGCGAACCATATCTACGATCACTCAATTTACAACCCAGACAAGGTTCAAGGTTAATTCGAAAGTAGTTCTATGCAATCTTATAAAAATACAAACCCACTGCGAATTACGAAATGGGACTCTGATTCCTCCTAAAAGGATACGTAGTAATACTATTAAAATCGTGGCGAGTCCCCCCTAACTAAAAAAAATCCTCTTCCCCTAAAATTTTTTTGAAACCTTATTTTCTTAAAAAATGCTTCTATACTTAATATCCTTGCGAACAAGGTAGATAAGGGGTGCCTAACACGTTCCCCTCATCTAGAACCAAGTCTAAAACTAGAATATCAGAACTTTAGGGTTATTCAT